ATGCACATGTGAAATACATATAATATTTGCATATATGTACTTATAGAGTTATAGATACACATGTACACACATGCACATATGGACGTACAGGTACACATATACACATATGCACACATTCACATATAGACTTACAGACACATGTTCACATATGCACATATAGACTTATAGATACACATATACATATCTATACATACAGACTTACAGATACACATATTCACATATGCACATATTGACTTATAGATACACATATACACATATGCACATATATGTAGACTTACTGATACACATATGCACATACAGACTTGCAGATAAACATATTCATATCCATACATATGTATAGACTTATATATACACATATTCACATATGCACACATAGACTTACAGAAACACATATACACATATATACATATAGACTTGCAGATACACATATGCACATATATAAATTGTAAACTATTCTTCTATACATATGAACCTTAAAAATACATGAAAAAATAAAAGATATGGAATATCTCATATGCACCATTATTCTCTAGAATGCATTTCGTTCTCCAATAAATATAATCACAATAAAAATGTCAGGATGACTTCGAAAGTCTGAAAGAAAAATATTTTCCTGTTTATTGTTCGACCGAAATTAGAAACGAAGTGGAAATTGAACGAAAAAATGAGACTCACCGGCGTAAATCCTCTTCGCAGGGATATTAAGATCGCTGACGTTTTGCCCCGTTCAAAGGACAGAAAACGCGCAACCGATGTTACGCGCTGCATTCCGTTTATTACGCGTTCAAAGCGGCCGCTTGCATAAATCTCCGGTGAAATTAAAGTGCACACTGGCCCGGTTGTAAACCAGAGCTCTAGCATTTGTAGGAAGGGAAAATAATTTGCGCGGAACGGAAATCGCGCACCTATATCCTCTCGAGATATTATTTTCACAGCGTTGGAAAAAATCGGGAACTTAACGAGTACTTTTATCGGGTTCTACTGCGAAGTAATTCGAGAAGACAAACGATTCGGAATGTAAAAATCCTTATCCGATAATGAAATCGAGATGGCGTTTCAACGTCCGCTCTATCGATGCAACTTTTTTCAGACAAATTCGACGCTTGGTAATTCGATGCGTGGTAATTCGGTGCATGGTGATTCCACGCGTGGAAATTCGACGCGTGGAAATTCCACGCGTGGTAATTCCATGCGTGGTAATTTGACGCATGGAAATTCGGTGCGTGGTAATTCCACGTGTGGTAATTCGACGCATGGGAATTCCACGCGTGGTAATTCCGCGCGTGGAAATTCCACGCTTGGTAATTCCATGCGTGGTAATTTGACGCATGGAAATTCGGTGCATGGTAATTCCGCGCGTGGTAATTCCATGCGTGGTAATTCGACGCATGGGAATTCGGCACGTGGTAATTCGACGTGTGGAAATTCCACGCTTGGTAATTCCATGCGTGGTAATTTGACGTATGGAAATTCGGTGCATGGTAATTCCGCGCGTGGTAATTCCATGCGTGGTAATTCGACGCATGGAAATTCGGTGCGTGGTAATTCGACGTGTGAAAATTCCACGCTTGGTAATTCCATGCGTGGTAATTTGACGCATGGAAATTCGGTGCGTGGTAATTCCACGTGTGGTAATTCGACGCATGGGAATTCGGCACGTGGTAATTCGACGTGTGGAAATTCCACGCTTGGTAATTCCATGCGTGGTAATTTGACGTATGGAAATTCGGTGCATGGTAATTCCGCGCGTGGTAATTCCATGCGTGGTAATTCGACGCATGGAAATTCGATGCGTGGTAATTCGACGCGTGGGAATTCGGTGCGTGGTAATTCCACGCGTGGAAATTCGGTGCGTGGTAATTCCACGCGTGGAAATTCGGCGCGTAGGAATTCAGTGCATGGTAAATCCACGCGTGGAAATTCGACGCGTAGAAATTCGGTACGTAGGAATTCGGTGCGTGGTAATCCCACGCGTGGAATAATATCGTTAAAGGAAATTAATATCGTTCTTGAACTTGAAATTTTCTCCAAACGATAAACGTAGAGTCAACGATACAGCGTTATCAGCTGTTACTTCCAATGTTCTCTGAAGTTATAATCCTCTCTGCAAATGAAAGATTTTAGCAACCTAAATATACTACTTTATTTGAACATTTCGTGACTGTCTTCATTTCCGTCATTTTAAAATTTGTAACACTTTCTTCAAGTAGGACAGTTAATTATTTCAACTTGAAAGATAAGGTACTATGTTTTATCTACCAAATTCACGATTGTCTGAAGTAATCTGCTCGCATTAAAATTGAACTGTTAAGATTGATTATTATCGAAGAACAGTAGAGTACAAGAATTAGGTTCGGTCGATCATGCGAGCATTAACTAAACCATCACTTTCCGGACGAAAGATTCAGTTCTGCCATTGAAACGTTAAGGGTGTAAATACAGGGATGAATCGATGAAATAACTTTGGATGGACCATCTCCCTTCGATTTTCGTCGACTGGGCAAACTTCATCGGCGACAGATCGGCTCGAAATGATCGATCACGAGATTAACTCGTTCGTTAGCGACCAACAAAGCGAACAATTTCATTTGTTCCACGCTCTAACGAAGCGTTCCGTAAACGTGATTTTCACCCACCAAATGTTTACCCCTTCTTCGGCTTTGTTTCCTTCATTTACAAATTTCCCAGCTATCTTTGGGCCCATATTTTCAAACCTCAAATTTAATCTCCCAAACTTCGAAACCTGCTAGCTTCCTATTTTCCAGTTTTCAAAATTTCAATTTTGGAGGTTTAGGAATTTAATAGTACCTGTGGTACGAGGCGTAGTGATGTGATGCGGGGGAGTAGGACGTGTGGAAATATGGCGCATGGGGATACGACGCGGGAAAATACGGCGAATGGGAATACAGCGCGTAGGAATTCATCGCGTAGAAATATGGGGCGTAAGAATTCCAAGCGAGGAAATTTGGTGCGTTAGAATTCGACGCGTGGAAATTCGGGGCGTAGGAATTCGACGCGTAGAATTTCGGCGCATAAGAATTCCACGCGTGGAAATTCGGCGTGTTGGAATTCCATGCAAGGAAATTCGACGCGTAGAAATTCGGTGCGTGGTAATTCGACGCGTGGAAATTCCACGCGTGGTAATTCCATGCGTGGTAGTTCGACGCATGGAAATTCGGTGCGTGGTAATTCCACGCGTGGTAATT